CTTTTGATAAGTTGAAATTTTCTTCTTCCGATTTTTCAAAATATAGACATACTGAAATTAAATTCCATTTTTTTGTTTAGCATTCATTTTATGAATCGCTATTAAGTATGGTTGCATGTAAACATGACAAAGCATGCATGCTTTGTCATCATTTTGTTATGCGAGATGGACAGATGCATGACAAAGTATGCATGCTTTGTTTCTTATGCCAATATGCATGACAAAGTATGCATGCTTTGTTTCTTATGCCAATATGCATGACAAAGCATGCATGCTTTGTTTCTTATGCCAATATGCATGACACTCACATATTAAGCAAGCAATAATCGCTGATAGTGTGAATAAATCCATCTGATAAACAGCCAAGCAAACTTTCGGCTTTCATCTAAGAAAGCCGAAAAGAAAAAAAAAAGTTCTTTTGATAATTGCTACTTTTCACTTAATTATTATTGTCATCCTTGTTTCCTTCCCTCATTTCCATTTATACCTTTGAAGTGTCTGTCAATCAATGATCAATCTATTCTACATTCACTAACCATTGTCTCTTCGAAAGAATACGGAGAAGAAAGGAGAAAAAGAAGAGAGAGAAGATGAAATGAATGAGAAATAGAAGAAAAAGATAGATAAAAATAGAATTAGAATTTGATAAACAAAAAGATGAGAAAATAATTTGTTAAAACAAATGGGAATTATTTTTTTTTAAAAAACTGTTATGTGAAAAAAAGGGAGTAAAAATAAGAGAATAAAAGATGGAAAAAGTGTAGATATATAATGACAGTTGTGACATTTATTATGTCTTTCCGTTTTTTCTCTTCTCTCTCTCTCTCTCCCTCTCTCTTCTTCTCTAACTCTTTCTTTCGATTTGATTATGACAATTATTGAAATGCTAAAAGTTGACATATATTCAATCGAACAGCAAATTTCCACTTTTTCCTGTCATTATTAAATTTATGAAAATTTAAAAAGCTGTCAGTAACACTTTAACTTTCTCTCCTCTCATTGCAAAATGAAAGAGAAAATATTGTTAAAAACATTATAATGAATGAATGAAAGGGAAATATTTCAATTAAATAAAATTGGCAAATTCAATAATTTAAAACTTTTTAAAATTTATTTTTTCAACTTTTATGAAACATTAATTATATTACTTTTCTCAATTATTTTTGCTTTCTTTTTCTTTTAGAACATTAGCATTTGAAATAATTTACTTTAATTAATTAATTAATTTCAAACGATACGAATGAAAATATTTCTATCATTTCTTCTTTACTTTCTATTATGAATGAATAATGACGTAGAATGTATTCGCAGTATAGCAAATAAATAATGTATTATTAAATGTTGTTATTATTAATATTATTCCTCGTTAATGTTATTATTATTATTATTATTATTATTGCTAACGTTTTATTATTATTATTATTATTGTTGAATCAACTAAAACTAATAATCAATTGTAAAATTTCCATCATCCATTTTTGCCAATGATTAATTTATCCGTTCCTCAATGAAATCTTAAGTAATCGATCTAATCTCTTTCCTTCCACTATGCTATCATTCATTCATCCATCCATACATTCATTCGATCGATTCGATCTCTCATTCCTCCATTCCATTCAATCCTCTGAACCAAAATCATTGAAGTATGCCTTTGGATGTGTGAGTGTGCACCACCCGATCATTATTTCTACTCATAATATCCCTATCATATATGTCGGTTTGTTTGTCTGTCCACATATTGTTGTCATTTGAAAATTCTAAATTGGAAACGACGGACCAAAGAACCAACCAAACAACCAACCGACCGACCAACCAACCAACCAACCGACCGACCGACCGACGGACCGACCGACCGACGATGAAATTAACAATCGATTTTTCGCTGACGTTAGTCATTGAATAGGGAGGAGTGAGAAAGAAGGGTGAAGGAGTATGCTTGTGTGTTTTGTAGCTGATATTGAGGCGATAAGTAATGTTTTAATATAAATAACCTTGGAATTTATTATTGATACGTACAGTATGCTTTTTGATGTATTTAGTTGAAATGTCAGTAATGAAAATAATTAGCATACTTAATAATTATGCTAAATAATGATGTTAATTGAAAGAGAGCGAGTGAGCGTTTGCTTTTAACAAATGAATTTCTCATCTTTTTTATTTAGCTAATAAGATGAAAACATGTAAGTAAGATAGAAAATGAAATTTATTGTTTACGTTGTTAACTTTTGTGATACCTTCGATAAAATCAATTAAAATTTATTGTTTTATTTTAAACGTTAATTTATGACAAAAAAATGAAAGGAATTTATTGTACGATATGAGTATAACTTATAAAATTGAATTATTGCTCCATTCAATTATATATTTTCAGAAAAACTAATATATAAGAGTGTTATTCTTTCGGTGAACTATTTCCGGATATATCAATTGAATTTGGCCGGAGTAAAGAAATTATTATTTGCGTTGAAGTATATCATTTCGTAAGTTACATTCATGTCTATTTTATGTTATGTTATCCAAGCTGAATAAACTTATCCACTCTTGTTGCAACTTAGTTCAGTAGAACTTTTTTAAATTAAATCCATTAGTTATTTGATTCATTTTAAATCATACTTATCTGATCTTCATTTACCTTAGTTTAACCTTATTTCAATGTAATTCTTATATCAATATCTTTTAATTAATTAGCTAAAATTTGTATAATCTATGAAAATTTCCTCTCATTAATATCTTCTAATTATATTACTTAATTGATTATATTCTTTATTATTTTTTTTTTACACTGATTTGCTTATATCATTTTTTTTTATTACTTCAATTTTGATAACATTGATAAAACTCTATTTTACTTTTCAGTTTCATCCATTATAATTCTTTCTTATCCATCCGATTCCATTCACTTCACTTCATTTCTACTCTATTTATTCTAATTTTTTTGTCTAATTCACTTCTGTTCATTTCAATTTAATGGAATTCAAATTATTTCCATCAAATCTTTTTATGTATAATTGTGATATTTACTTGAAAGTATCTAAAAATTCGACGATATACATATATATATGTAAGATTTTTTTCCCATCAAGAATGATTTCTTTGGATTAGTTTATTTTTTTGTAATTTTTTTCAATTTTGGAATTTAATTTTTCCTTAAATGAATTAGAAAAGATTTTATTGATAATTAATAGATTAATGATTTCATATTAATTAAGTGTGTGTATATGTTAGAATCTTTGCAACAGATCGATAATAATTGTGCCTAATTATTCTAATAATTATGCCTGATTATTTTTGTTTATTCTTTTTTTAGCGGAAAGAAGCAATTATAGATAGAAAAGAAATGAAAGAAGTAGAAGTTTTAGAAAGAGTAATGCTAAAAATGAAATATTAGCTAATTAAAAATAATTCGGAAAAAAAAAGAAAGGAAAATAAAATAAAATTTATATTTTTTGAACTATTTTAAATCTTTCTTTCCATTAAAGGAAGCAAAAAAAAAAAATGTAAAAATTTCTCAACGAAAGTTATAACTAAATGTTATAAATTAAAGATAAAATTGAAATGATTAAATATGGTTGCTTGTCATTTTTCTTATTTTTCTATTTTATATTATATAAATGAAAACATAGAGCAAACTGCTATTTTTTCAAATTATTTTTCAGAAAATTTAATATATATATATAAGAATATTTGCACTCTTATCATTAACATTTTTCACCATAAATGATATACCCATTCATTAATTTGAGTGAGACATTTCCCATACCTTTTCTCATAGCATATTTCACATATTCACATATAATTTACTTTTATCTAAATTACCGGCAAAACTAAATAGCATATCGAATAACTTCTAGGTTTTGCATATTTTAATTAATCGCTAATTAATTTTGCAATACTGGTCACTCATTCATTAATTTATTAATTTTGCAATATTATAGATCATTCATATTACCTGCTTCTCATTAATTATATATTATTTGTCCTCTCGAATAACGCTTTATTATGCATAACTGTCAAAAAATTTCACTAAATATATCGCCATTAATTATAATAAACTCTTAACATTATATTAGGTAAATGATGTGAATTTTGAATTTAAGACATTCTTTTAAAAGGTATGAAAAATTTTGAATAGATTTCCATTAAATATATCAAAATTCATTATTCCTTGCTAAGTTATTAATAAGTGAAAAAATATAGAAGTATAATAGGTGTTAAATGAGTTTTCCTTCCTCTTTACGACATTTAACTTAACATACATGTCTACCTGTATATATTTATATTTAATTTATAAATGCCTCATTATAATTATAGATCAGTTCATTTCATTTTAGAAATTTTCATAAATATGTATGCATACATATATAATTTTATATTCTTTACCTTTATATACATATATATATATATATATTTCCTTTCTGTATTCATTCTCTTAATCCATTAAATTTATTCGATATTTAATTACAATTCTCAGGTTTATGTCGTATAATTTCATCATACTTAGTTAAGGATACATATCTCTACTCGAAATATTTGTATTGAGTCTAATTACCTCTTTTTTTTGAACTTAATTAAATTCGAAATCTTGCTATTTATGACAGATTTCATGATTAATTAATTCAATTTTACTTTTTATATTTATATCATTGTTTCAACCTTCAAAATGCATTACTGATATTTTTTTATTTAACTGACATCATTCTTTGAATTATTTTACTTATGATGACTATTTATGCAATAACTTAAATTTTTCTTTTCAAAAACTTCCATATTGTTTAAAAATAGATAATTGGTAATAAAGAGCCTAGGATAAACGTCTAGCTTGGCTATATTATGCCTGGCCCTGGCCTATGTGATCGTATATTGCTAACTGTGAATGTCAAATATTCTAAGATACAATCATATTAGAAAATATATATAATTGCATATCATATGATCACATAATTTTGATGCTAAAAGACTAATTAACATATTGGCGTTTTACAGGGCCTGCGGATTGCCGGATGGCGATGCCGCCGACATCCGCAGCCGGGAAATCTGATCATGATGTTTCCGACGTTGATACTGTAAGTTTTGTATTTGAAAAGTTTCCAATTGGAAAGTTACCTAAATGCTACCTTTCATGTCAATAAATAGTTATGAATCTTTTTAAAATAGTACTGCCAACATTCGTATTCGAGGATGTTTGTATATTTGCATCATTATTTTTTAAAAATCTTTATCCAACAAAACGCTTATTAAATTAAAGCCGTAAAACTTAAATGTATTAGGATAGGAGTAATTTCAAGGACTTAATAAATTTGTTTACATTTTCATAAAATTTTTAAGTATTGTTGATTAAATATTTTTTTCTTTTTGAAATATATATTTATTTGTATATTATATCATATAAATATTCTTTTATATTAAATGTGAATAATTATAATTATAATTTATTTGCAGATAAATTTACGACTGATATTAGTAAGTGGAAAAACAAAGAAATTTCAATTAGCATCAAATTCCTCAGCGCTTGATGTAATTCAGTATGTCTTTGATCATTGGCCTGATGGTATGTTAATTTTTTAATTTCTTTTATGTAATTTGGTCATATCAATAAATTTCAAATTTATGATAAATGAAACAATTAATAAATAACTATCGTAGATGTCATTATTATTATTAGAGTTGTTTAGAATTAATGGTAATCTTTAAAAATGAATATATTAATTAATCATAACAAGATATAATTAGCTGCTTCATATTTTCTCATTTCTTATATGATAAAGTTTAGTAGAACGTCATATATTTTTATACATATATATAATCTTTATCATTTCGATAGGTTTATTAATAAACAACACTGATAATATATATTATATTATATAATTTTAGATCATTTCAAAAGCGTCATAAATGTGAGATATATATTATGTTGAAGTATAATTCTTAGATTAATTACGTCTTACCAATTCTTCTAGAAAAATGATAATAAAATATAATTAGAGAATTGTTTAGAATTTATTTTACAGCCACTCATTGATAAGATGTAATTAAATTGATAAGATATAATAACTATTTATTTAATCATTATTAACATAACAACTAATAAAATATTACAAACAATACAAAAAATATTTCTTTTTGTTTATTTTAATTTTGCAGAATGGAATGATGAACGTGTAAATTCATCATCAATGCTAAAATTAATTTATCATGGACGGTTTTTACATGGTAGTGTTACCCTTGGCGCATTATCGTTACCAACTGGGAAGACAGCTGTTATGCATCTCGTTACCCGTGAAAATTTACCCGAATCTAATACTAATGGTAAGTTTTTCTTTCTTAACAAAATCAAAATGACTTATTTTTCCTTCTCTCTTGAGAGATTTGATAATGTGATAAGTGTTAAAGAGATTGATAAATAGAATGATGGTAATTAGCTGTGTAATTATCATAGAAGATATAATTAATGCTCATTGAAATATGCCAAATGATGGATTATAAAATGTTAAATCGTTAATCCTTTTTTCTCTATCGTTTTTTTTACCTTTTGAAGAAATGATAATGTTAGTAGTAATTGTAGTGACCTTTTCAAGTTTATAAAAAAGGGAGTAAGATTGTTATACATTAAATTATGAACTTATTTTTTTTTTCAATAAATTCTTTCTATTTTACTGCTCTTTGTCTTCTTTTTCCTTTAATTAGGTTAATTACAATGGTATGCAGAGTTTCTCTTTTAATCTGTTCCGCGGATTAGGAGAAGGGATAATGCGGGATGATATATATATA